TTTAACAGAATTTAATTGAGCAAAGAATGATTCCCAAATGGGGCAGCTCTCAGAACCAGAAGAGTTTCAAGAAACTCCGCTCTGCAACGTGGGCAGGCATTTACACACAGAAACCAGAAGTGGGGCACAGAAACTTGGCTGGTTACAGCTGGGCATTTGCCTTGTTTGAACATGGCCTGATCGGTTGGCCACCTGTGATTGAATCTCGGCTGCTGTGATTGGCTGGGACTCAGCGAGTTGTTGTAAAGGTATACTCCTAAATTAGGCTTTCAGTTGGTTAACCTACTAAGCCTGAAGTTCAATACATAAGGACTCAAAGGACCGAGGCATCCTCAGGCCAAATTTAGTTTAACAGAGGTGAAAACCACTTACATGAGTCTGCAGTGCTGCCCCCTTCTCCAAGATCACTAAAGAGAACCATTTTTCAGCTCGCTTAGTTTTACCTCTCCTAAAGAAAGGAGTCCTGCTTGCTGGAAGAGAGGCTAAGCTGATCTAGGTACTAAAGGAGTGGGCTAGGGGTGAGTGAATGGGGTAGTGGAGTCCCAGTGCAGTGGAAGAGTTTAATGGATTTCAAGAGGAGGAAGCAAAGAGACATTAAGAAGCATGTTGTGTTAATTATGAGTCAGCCTCTGGTGGAATATGAGGACCTAAATAAACGGTGTGATTTATTATTAATTACTTTTGGTTGTTGGACTGTTTCTTTGGAAGGGATAACCCTCTGAAAATGGTTTATGTGGGTACCTGGATTTAAAATGTTGTATGTAGAATGAAGTTGCAGGGATTTGCATTTTGAATTTGTGAGATCTATAGCAGTTGTGTTCATATACATATATATAAAACATATATATATATATTATATATATATATGCTTTAAGTGTTTGCTTACTGTGTTTGCTTGTAGTCACAGGTGGGAGATTAGATGTTCTTCAGATTCACCCAACCAGAAGCCTGGGTGGGAGGAAGGACACCTGGACCCTCATAGCAACCTGTGCTCCCTCTGCACTTCTCTTGGTTTTGCTAACATTTATCGAACATTTACTGTATACTACATATTGTATTAAGTGCTTTGTAGAGATTATCTTGTTAATCCTCACAACAACCTATGCCATTCATAGAGTTACAATCCCCATTTCCAGATGAGAAATTTGAGGAATATAGAGGTTGCCTGGGATGAAACAGTGAGGATGTAGCAGGCTGAGGGGTGGTCCCAGGTTTGTCTGATTCCACCGCTTGAACTTGTAGCCACTCAGTTACCTGCACCAAGGAAAGGAGGCAGCTACAGGCAGTGTCGTCGGGAAATCATCCCTTCTGATGCACCCTACAGGACGCAGCGCTGTCTCACACACCCTGAACTGGGTACAGGTTCCTTATCTCATTCCTCCATAGGGACAGAGACGATGCCCCGACTGTTCTGGGGATACAGCCTGGGCCATGTCACAGACATACACGTACATGCAAACACACACATGCTCAGTCACTGACTGCATTTTCACTTCACTGATTTTGTAAAAGACACTGTCACTGGAGAGTAATTAAAAACCCTGGTAAATTCATGTTGGGGCCTCCTGATGTGATTGTGCAGTTATTTATCCTTAGACGACAGGAAGGATTAGCATTAAATGCTGAGAGAAATGCACCTGCCACCGTGATGTGGTTAGAGGCATCCATCACAGATGCATTTGGAACCCAGAGACCTCGCTCTGATTTGCCAGGAATGCTGGAAGCTTTCTTCAGCTGAACTTAAAAGTGGAGAGAAAAAGAGTTAGTAATGAGGAATGGACCCCATCTTAACTTCTTAATAGATTCTTCTGGGGCAAAGAAGTAATTTCTTCTCCAGCCCTGTCCGCCTTGTGTCTTTGAGGCAATAGTTGTGTGCTATGGATCAGGGCAAAACCTTTCCCTAGAGACAGAAGGACTTATGTGTCCCTGCTATTATTCCTACTAATAACTGGTCACATTTGTTCAGTGTTTATTATGTGTGGAGTATTGGTAGATGGCCTTGCCCGCATCATCTCATTGAACTCTCAGATGGCTTCCCCCTCTTCAAGCCTGACCTTCTCCACACTTCCCCAAGCTATCACTTATTGTGTCATTTGTGTCTGTCACACGGGGAGGGGTAAGGCACTGTTATTAGTAAGACTGGCTTTATAAGTTCAACAAGTAAACATTGACAGGTACAAAGGCAGGAAAGGAGTGGCAGATCTATGAATTACAGTGTCAATTTTACTTGTATTGAGAAGAATAATTATTTGCTGTTAGATTTATTCAGTATTTATATGGGTCAGTTTAATATGTTTATACTGAGAAATAATAACCATTATTCTAATAACTCAAATGTCAACTGCCTTTTGTCCTTCAGTTTCAGTTTCTATTCATCCCATCTGCTTTTGCCTCGTTGCAATCCAGATTTGGAATTTAGCAAGGAATCTGTCATCACAAAGGAATTGGTGGGGGGCAATATTTTAATAAGGAATGAATACACAGAGGTGGAGATTTATATCACATGTAAATCCCCGCTCTCTCACATACACCCTCCTCTCTTTTTAAGCAAAGAGCTTAGGAGTCCATATTAGATACTTCTGTCCTCTAGAGATCCTCCTCCATCCCAGATCTGAGGTTTTTCTCTCTATCTTTACAACCTTTTCCCAAGCAGTGCCTTTGATCACATATTCATTTCTCTTTCCTTCTCCTTCTTAGCAGGTGTGCAAATTCTTCTCCTGATATTGTATGTTATAATTTAGGAACCATTTTTGTTACTAAACAGGACCTTAGCATCCTATACTTCCACCTTATCAAAGTATGCCTTGCAAAGAAATGCAGCGTTGCTCTTAAGATGTACTCTGGAGGAATAAAATTTTCATTTCATTATAGAAATAGACCTTATTGACAGAATTCTGAAATGAGGGACTGTGCACAGAATCCTAACTCTAAATTGTCTGATATAATCGGTCCTGATTCAGATGTTTTATGTTTAACGTAATACCTAAAGGGATTTATTAGCATGGAACATTACGAAGATAACAAAGAGTGTTGAGAATGACCGAACTCATACACTGCAGTGAGAACTATAGAACATTCATTATAGACTTAATATAGCACCTGCTATGGTTTGAATGTGTCCTCTCCAAAATTCATATTGGAACTTAATCTGCATTGTGGGCATATTAAGAGGTAGGGCCTTTTGGGAAGTGCTAAAGTCATGAGGGTTCATTCTAAAAGGGCTGGAGGAAACTAGCTTAGACCCCTTTGCCCTTCTGTCCCTTCTGCTATGTGAGGACATATCCTCTGTCCTCTCCAAAGGATGTAGCAACATGACACCATCTTGGAAGATCTTGGTGCCTTGATCATGGACTTCCCAGCCTCCAGAACTGTGAGAAATAAATTTCTGTTCTTCATAAATTACTCAATCTCAGGTATTTTGTTACAACAGCACAAATGGACTAAGACAGCACCTAAACTATACATAAATAATCTATAGTGATTTCTTTTCTTTTTTTTGGACAGAGTCTCATTTCTGTTGCCCGGGCTAGAGTGTCGTGGCATCAGCTTAGCTCACAGCAACCTCAAAGTCCTGGGCTCAAGCGATCCTCCTGCCTTAGCCTCCCGAGTAGCTGGGACTACATGCATGAGCCACCATGCCCGGCTAATTTTTTCTATATATTTTTAGTTGGTCAATTAATTTCTTTCTATTTTTAGTCTCGTTCTTGCTCAGGCTGGTCTCGAACTCCTGACCTTGAGCCATCCTCCCACCTCGGCCTCCCAGAGTGCTAGGATTACAGGCATAAGCCACCGCACCCGGCCTATAGAGATTTCTATTATGTGTCCTAACTTCTCCTTTACCATGAAACCAGAAATAACCTTTGAGCAGACAGCTCTGGTTTTGTCTGGGTTCTTCTGTGTGCCACATATTATTCTTGTCTTGCTTTGATTCCTACTTAGATGTGAGGAATTCAGACTGTATCATATTCAAACACATTATTCCTACTGAGCCCACTAATGGCTTTAATCTAGACAAAACATCTCATTTAAACCAAAGGTGTAAATGAAACCCTAATTCATGTATTTGCTCACTGCCTACCCCATCCAGCCCCACCAAACCCATTAGCATCTCAAGTTGCCTTTTTACAATGTGGTCCAAATTCCCAGCTTTAAGTTTTCCAGAATTCAGGTGCATTAAGATCATGTCTCTGTTAGACCTTGTTGGCTAAAAATGTTTCCAATGAATCCAAAAATGTAACTGTAGTATCAGAGGAGTAAAACCATATCAGTGTTGGCAGTGGATCAATGGTTTAAAATTCCTGTGAAATTCAACTGCAGAGTGACTCCTTTTATAAACAAAATACAGGTTTACATTCTTGAAAGTCTGCCTTCAAATGGATTAAACCTTGATTGGAATGGCACCATGTGCTATAATACATTCCACTAAGTAAATGACTTTCAGTTGTTCAATAAAATATTCAGGATTATCACTGAGATGTAGGTTTCTCCGGGCCCACTGCACTTGTGATTCTGGCCAATTGCCTAAGAGCAGCAGAAGACTTTTCAGGGAAATCCAGGGAGCCATATGAAAATAGGAGTGACTAATGTCCATGAGGAGAGGAATTTTTACATGAAGGTTAGATTTAGGTCAGTAAAAATATGTTGAGAGAAACCCAGGTAATTAAAACCACCAGAGTTTAATACATTTCTCCAGACAGGATTTGTTTTGAGACTGAAAATTCAGTTTGAGCTTTTTTTTTTTTTTTTTTTAGACAGAGTCTCACTCTGCTGCCTGGGCTAGAGTGCAGTGGCTAGAGTGCATAGCTCACCGTAACCTCAACCTCCTGGGCTCAGGTGAGCCTCCTGCTTCAGCCTCCCGAGTAGCTGGGACTACAGGCACGCGCCACCGTGCCCAGCTAATTTTTCTGTTTTTTGTAGAGATAGGGTCTCGCTATGTTGCTCAGGCTGGTCTTGAACATATGGCCTCAAGTGATCCTCCCCGCCTCGGCCTCCCAAAATGCTAGGATTACAGAGGTAAATCACTGCACCCAGCCAGTTTGAGCATTCTTATTGTGTGCATTACAAAATTTTACCTGTTTCTTCAAGTGCTGTCCCTATAGTATTTTTAAAAGGGAAGTTGTTGGTTAGGGTCCCTGGGGAGAATCAAGCACTGGGATTCTCTCCCAGTCATTATAAAACACCTCTCTTTCTGCCCCTCTAACTTACTCATCTCATGGTGAATTATAAAAATGGTGCCAAAACCCTCTACATAGTGAACAGTCCTCAACTTTTATTTTCCTTTCCTAATGAGGTAAGAAGGTAACCTGGAATTAAGGAAATAAATGTTTGCACAATGGCAGCTCAGAGTGACAGCTGCAAGCGTGAATGGGTTGCAAGCTGCCTTTCTAGTCTCAGAAAGTGGTGGTATTATTTGTGCCTTGATTTTCTTCTTTATATTTTCCGTATCTTCCAAATTGCCTAAAATCAGCAATTTTGGGTTTCTATAATAAAGAAGAAAAAAACTTTTTAAAATCTTAGTTTTAACCAGTGTGTATTACATACAAGCATAGAAATAGTAGAAGGATACTCACCAACACGAAGACAGTGTTCATCTTGCAATAATTGGGGCGACCGGTAGTTGCTTCTCTTTTGAACATTTGCATTTCTTGATTTTTCTGCAACGCACATCATGTGCATAATAAATGAGCATTTTTATGATGAACATTATCTGCATAACAAAAAATGAAGTTTATGTTTTAAAAAATCACACCCACACCAAAAGGTAAATAGTTGTACTATTAATTGGTGTTTGTTCTACATCAACATTTTAGGCTTAGCAAGTAGATAACTCCCTTCTGTGTCTGGAATTGGGTTGAGTGAGGTTCAGAGACGGTCTCAGAGAGGGGTCTGGGATCTTGCAGAAACTAGCAGGGATGCTTGTAGCTCTCTCCTCTCCATTTGTTTCTCCCCCTGCAACACTGCGGAGGCCACACCAGGCCCGAGTCTGGAATAATAGCAATAGTAATACTAACAGTAATGATATATTTGTGTGATTCCTAATACTTTCAGACCTTTCCTGGTCATTCTTCTCTGAGCCTCTGAATAACTGAAGAATATATGGCAGGCCAGGCATTAGTGTTCCTTCCAAACTGCAGTTGTTTTGGTTTATTTTATCTATCTATCTATTTATTTATTTATATTTCAAAGACAGGGTCTCACTGTGCTGCCCAGGCTGGAGTGCAGTGGCTGTTCCTAGGCACAACCATAGCACACACTATAAGCCTTGAATTCCTGGGCTCAAGCAATCCTCCTGCCTCAGCCTCTTGAGGCTGGGACTACACACCAGGCCCAAGTGAGGTTTTTATTTTTTATTTATTTTTTTATTTTTGTGTATGAAATTGAGATTTTTACTGACATGCAGATGTGCTTTAGAGTTAATGTTTCTACAAAAAGTTTCTATAAACAATAGAAAATATCTAGCATGAAGTCACAGGATGTTAAAAATATTACAACACAATAAATATAACTACACCCTCCACAGCCCCAACCAGAGAGAAAAGCAGACAGCTATCAAGTTTGGAGGGAAACACTCTGAGATCGCTTTCACAATCTACAGAAACCCTAAGCACCACACAGGAAGAGAGCAGGTGCAAGTCTGGGTAGCAGAGCTGCAACATGAGACTCCTAAGCTGTGCTTCCCTACTTCGCTTCCTTCTAGCCTTAACCCTGCCTATAGCCCGCACCAGCTAAATGTTATAGCTTCAGTCCCCAAGTGAGGTTTTTAAAACAGAGAGGATCACATTAATTTTCTGTTAAAGACTCATCAAAGGATTACCAATGCATTAAGAATATAATTTAAACTTTTTAAAAAATTTTTATTTATTTATTTTTATTTCAGCATATTATGGGGGTACAAATGTTAAGGTTATGTATATAGCTCACCCCCACCCCACCCCCCCACCCCCTGCCCTACCTGAATTGGCTAAGCCCAGCTCTGTGACCTCATTTTTCCCACTTCCCTGTTGGAACGTGCTCCGGCCACACTGCCCCCCATACAACTCAGGACCTCCCTCTGCCATTTGGTTCCCTCGTCCGGGAATGCTCTTCTTCCATCTGAAGTTGGCAGTGGCAGCAGGAGGAAGAATAGAAAAAAATGAAGTTCCATTTGATCCATTCTCAGCTTAAATGTCTCCTTCTCAAAAAAACCTTTCCTGACCACCCTGTTTAAGTAGGTGTGTTCTCGCCTTCTCACCCAGTTCTCTGCTGTGCTAGTTATCTATTGCTGCACAACAAATTCCCCCAAACCTTAGTGGCTTAAAACAACACTTCCTCTCATGGTGTCTGTGGATCAGGAATCCAGGCGTGGCTTGGCTGGGTGGTTCTGGCTCAGGGTTTCCCATGAGGTGGCAGTCAACTTGTCAGCCAGGGCTGCAGTCATCGGAAGGCTTGACTAGGACTAGAGGATCTGCCTCAACATGGCCCACTCACATGCCTGGCAAGCTAGTGCTGGATATTGGCCGGAGGCTCAGTTCCTCGGCATGGGCTCTCTCCACAGGGCTGCAGGAGTATGGTCATGACACAGCAGCTAGCTTCCTTCAGAGCAGGACAGCTGAGAAAGCAAGGCGGAGCTACAGTGTCTTTTGTGACCTAGCCTCAGAAGGTCATTTATGGTTATCCTTATACACAGCTAGCCCTGGTTACCTTGGGAGGGATCTGTGCAAGGACATGAATGCTGGGAGGTGGGGATCGTCGTGGGCTATATTGGAGGCTCGTTCCCTATCTTCTATCACATATAGGTAAACGATTAATTGGAAATGGAAGAAAACTACTTACAATTAACTTGTTTATTGTTTGTCTTCCCCATTCATTTACTCTCTACCCTCTGTACCCAAGCCCAGTGCTTAACACATAGTTGATGCACAATAAATATTTATGGTTGAGGTAAGAAACTCTTATCTTCTAAGTCAGTTGATTGCTTAAAACAGGAGGCAGAAACAGGTATGAAATGAACGAACATTGCTAGTTAATGTAGACTTCATCCAAGAAAATTTAATTGAATAATTGGATGTTGGTAGGAGCTGATTTCCTCTTTATTTAGTGAAACACTTTCATTTATTTCGGTCAAGAAACTGTAATACACTTTATTTATTTATTTATTTATTTATTTGAGACCGAGTCTCACTCTGTTGCCCTGGCTAGAGTGCCATGACATCAGCCTAGTTCACAGCAACCTCAAACTCCTGGGTTCAAGCAATCCTTCTGCCTCAGCCTCCCGAGTTGGGACTACAGGCATGCGCCACCATGCCTGGCTAATTTTTTCTATATATTTTTAGTTGGCCAATTAATTTCTTTCTATTTTTTTTAGTAGAGATGGGATCTCGCTCTTGCTCAGGCTGGTTTCGAATCCACCTGCCTAGGCCTCCCAGAGTGCTAGGATTACAGGCATGAGCCACTATGCCCAGCCTATTTTCTCAGAATTGATTTCCTAGATTCTTTTTAAAGTAAGACAGTTCATAACAGATTTATCTTTTCTATCTTTTTCTGTAGGATAATTTTATACAATTACGTGTTTTAATATACTGATGAAAAGCAGTTTTAATGCAGAAATAATCAAAACAAAAATGTATTATAACCATATTATTATAGATAATTAGTAAGAATGATTCGAAGTCAAACTACAATGGTTACATATTTTCTTATAGGCTTTCCCCACTAGATGGTAAAGTCGGGGAATCCACAGGTGTGTAATCTATATATCCTTGAACTAAGTGTGGCCCACAAATCAGTAGTATACACATCACCTGAGAGCTTGTTAGAACTACAAATCTTGGGTATCACCCAGCCCTACTGAACGAAAACCTGCATTTTAACAAGTTCTCTAGTGATTCGTATTGCACTTCAAAGTTTGAGAAGCATTGCTCTTTGATACTCAACCTGGGGTTTTGCATTTAAGGAAGGCTTTTGCACTTGAGTCAAAAAGGAAGCATTTGCTTTCCTGAAGTCAAGTTCAGGAACGAAAAAGAGCATCTTCTTGTAACTGAAACATTTCCAATTGAGAAGATGTTTTTATAGACATTTCTCAGTTCTTGAATTGAGAATATGTTTTAAGTGTTAACTACAGAACATCACCATCGTTCTCCAGCTTCCTCACATGGCCTCTGCGCTGGCCTGCTGTGTGCAGTTCCTCTCACCTCCAGAAGGCCGAGCTCTGACTTAGGGTTTTATTTCCTTCCTGACAGTTTTCCCTCCTCAAATTAATGCAGTAAAGAACCAGCTGCTTTGAGTTCCAAAAACCAAGATTTGAAAATTGAGGTCAGACTTATTAAAATGGCATGCCCCAGAGAATAATGATTTTCCCTATTTTTTAAAAAATGTCTTCTCATTTGTTTTATTTTGCAAAGAAACTTTGGTTTTTAAACTTGACTATGGAAAAAGATATATTTTAGCTTGATTTCTAGACTTCAAATTAAAAATAGAAATTCTGTATTTTCAGATTTTAGTAGAAATAGAAATTGCTTACCATTCTTGTTTCTGTTTTCGTTCCTTTATATTTAGCAGTTTCGGTTCTGAAAATATTTCACCAAAACAGAGCAAAATGATTTCTGAGTCATGAGGGTAGGGTAAAATATCGTTTCATTTCTGTGCTTTTCCTTTTAAATAAAAATTTAAAACTTCAACTTTAGAAAAGTAGACAAGTCAATTTTTCTAAGACCATTTATATAATTGTGACCACTAAGAAAGCGTAGGATATAATATTTAAAATATTTGAGATGGCCTGGCTCAGCGACTCACTCCTGTAATCCTACCACTCTGGGAGGCTGAGGCAGGAGGATCGCTTGAGCTCCAGAGTTCAAGACCTGCCTGAGCAAGAGCAAGACCCCGTCTCTACTACAAAGAGAAAAAATTAGCTGGTTGTGGTGGCACATGCCTGTAGTCCCAGCTACAGGAGGCTGAAGCAGGAGGATTGCTTGAACCCAGGAGTTTGAGGTTGTTGTGAACTAGACTGATGCCATGCCACTCTAGCCTGGTCAATGGAGTGAGATGCAAAATAAATAAATAAATAAAATAAAATATTTGAGAAAGTATCATTACTGTTCTATAGACACTCTGCTAGAGAGAGGTTAAATGATTGGCATTCAAGTCAATTCTCCACATTTCCAAAATCTGGCCAAATTATATTATATTTAAGATCAAGATCTCAACTATACTGATATGCCCATTATTGTTTTCATTAAACATGTGTATGTGCCAGTCATTGGGCCAGGCCTTGCGATTACAAAGAAGAAGGAGTAATATGTGGGAGTACCATCTTTTTTTGAAGCAATAGTTTGGCCAAGGAACTATGCTAATAAAAATTAAACTAGTTGCTGGCTTTTGAAAATTTTAAGATGTAAGCTGTATGCTTTCCTAATTCTAAAATAAACATATATTTCCTCAGAAATATAAATATTTGGAACATGTAGAGGGCTTGAAGGTTATCAGGCCGCTATGCCAGTTAATACACTGTTCCTCCTGGATGACATTTAAACTGCTTTTTTTCTTTTTTCCTTTTTTGCAGCAACTCTGGTCTATTTTCTTAAAGTCCTGTCTTGTATACAATTTTATCACTTTTTGAAAATCTGTTTTCTGAAATGAATCTAAATTTGCATTTCTTTCATTTTCTCTGTTTTTGCCACTTGGGATCCATTGCCTTTTCTGCTACTGAAATTCAGTTTTTTAAGACAAACAACTAGAGCATGTATTGTATGTTTGTATGTTTGTGTTTGTATATTTGTGCACGTGTGTGTGTGTGTGTGTGTGTGTGTGTGTGTGTGTACACTGCATAGTAGGTTTGAATGCATGAATGTGGGTTTTTCTGGGCAAAGTACATGCATATAAAAATACAGAAAGCCAAGATATTGTTTGCATTTTTGCAGTTTGTATATATATATACTGTTAAACATGCTAATGAGTCAAATGATAGAAGATTAGGAAATAAAATACCTTTGAAATAAGGATGTAGAAATATCTTTTGGTCATTCCGTTTGACACATGTAGTTGGGTTTTAGTACTTTATGGTCTTGATCTCGGTACTCTAATGGCCAGGCTGTCATTCTGTATTTTTTTTTTTTAATAGAAGCAAGGAGAAGCCCAGGATAAAATTATACTAAGAAATAACTTTTGGGCCTCAAGTGGCCACTCTTTGAGTCTGCCTTGCCCAGGGGTAGGAAAGGCACTCGAGACTCCCAACCTGTCTTCTCCAAGGCAAAGCTTTGTAAGAGGGAGGGGCCTGGTGGTGCTTGCTTAGTGACATCCTGCCATAGTTTGACCAGGGAGCATGGCAAACAACATTCAGCAGTTCCTAGAGTCAACATGCTTGAAGGCTGTTACACGTCAGTGTCTTGTAAGATTTCAACTCTATGCTGAATTTTAAGTTTGGTCTCAGATTTGCTACATATAAAATTTAATTGAGCCATACTGGGAAACAGACATGTAGTTTCCTTTTTTTTGGGGGGGGGGGGACAGAGTCTCGCTTTGTTGCCCAGGCTAGAGTGAGTGCCGTGACGTCAGCCTAGCTCACAGCAACCTCAAACTCCTGGGCTCAAGTGATCCTGCTGCCTCAGTCTCCCGAGTAGCTGGGACTACAGGCATGTGCCACCATGCCCGGCTGATTTTTTCTATATATATATTAGTTGGCCAATTAATTTCTTTCTATTTATAGTAGAGACAGGGTCTCGCTCTTGGTCAGGCTGGTTTCGAACTCCTGACCACCTCGAGCAATCTGCCCGCCTTGGCCTCCCAGAGTGCTAGGATTACGGGCGTGAGCCACCCCGTAACTAGGCGCCCGGCCTAGTTTCCTTCAAGTCAAATTTCAATTTGAAAAACATGATCGCATTCAATTAGTTCCCTTCTGTCTTTCCTTGCTCCAGCTCACAATAACTGCTCAGCCAATGGCACACGCTTTCCTGAAGTGTGGCCAGCATGCCACAGGTGACAGGCACAGTGATTACAGGTGGCACACCCACAGAGAATTCCCTTTTGAGTTCTCTTTCAGTCTTTCTGTTTACATCATAAGAAAAGCCTCACCTTAGTTCAAGAAAGTCTCTAATACCTCCTTAACTTTCAGAGCCCTGTTTTCAAGGAAAAGGCAGGCTCCAGGATCAGAGCTTTTTGGTAGGTGACAATATGTAGCTAGACTTTATTTTTACAGTTGCCTTCTGCTTGTGCCACTGACAATTATTTTAAATTCATAATAATGTTATAAAATTTTCATTTTAAATAAATAAATATATTAAGTATAAAACCTATCAATTTAGAGGTGAATATTAAGTAGATTAGAACCCAAATGACACCTAGTCCGGCAAAAGTTATAAGGGCGATACATGAAAGACTGCTCTGGTAAACTCTTGTGTAGTAAAAGAACGGGCTTTGCAGTTAGACTTTGGAATTGCATCTCTGTTCAGGGTCTTAGTAGCTTTGTGACTTTGGGGAAATTATTTCATGTCTCTGGGCTTTAGTTGCTTTCATCTCAAAATGGCAATAACAGTTGTACCATGTATGTGAAGTCTGTAGCACAGTGCTTTAAAAAAAAAAATGAATATGATCAAGCTGTAGCTCCTCCCCAGCTAACTAAGCTCTTCAAGGCTTAGTTATATATCTCATTTCCACCACAGAATCCAACCCATCTCCCTACAGTGCAATATCAATAATTGGAAATCATCTGACCTCCACCTCTTCCTAATTGGTTTGCTTCCTTTTTTTTTTTTTCCTTCTTATATGA